GCCGCTGCAGCGGCATTCATCAAGGTCACCGACACACAGCTCTTCGATCTCGCTAGTTCCGCCCCACCCGAAGAGCGGCTCGCTGTGCGACAGCTAAGGGCGGCTTCCCAGGCCACCTGTGGCGCCGGTGAGGAGCGTGCGGGGCTTAGCCTTGAGCCCCACGATGCATTCGGCTCAGCCAATCTGCCCGTCGTGTGGGCTGGGGCAGTGGGCCTCGAGGAGGTGGTAGAGGGGTGCCTCGAGGAGGTGGTAGAGGGGTGCATCAGCATGTCTGCCATCCTCTTGCGCGGCCTGTCGAAGTACCAGCGGCTCACCAAAACGGCAGCCGACAGGGCTCGTGCAGGCCTGCTTCAGGATGCCTCCGATCGGTCCACATCGGCGAGCAGCGGTCTTCTCACACTCCCAGATGCTCATAGTCAGGTGAACCGACAGACACGTGTCATGCATCTGCTGACCCACTCATCCTTCCTTGTGTGCCGTTCTGTCTGACCTGACCAGTCTGGCGCTGCGGCGTTGGCGAACATGTCATCGTCCTCATCGGCCGCCCAGCTCCCCATCTCACCCCTGCTGCCCTCAGCACACGACGGCACCATGGGCAAGAACACGAACACCAAGACCACCATCCACCCGAGCAGCTACCAGCCACTCGAGACGAGAGCAGCGGAGGGCGTCGGGCGGCTGGCAGATGAGGGCATCACAGCGCGTCGGCGAGGCAGCGGGCGGCAGGGGTACTCTGCCGGCATGTGGATGCCGTCTGAGGCGATGGATGGAGAGCCGCCCGGGTCACCAACATCTGCACACAGGTCGGCAGCAGTCGGCGAAAGCGTAGCATCGCGATGCCATGTGACTGTGTTGTTCTGTCGTCCTTTCTCAGTCCGTTTGATGACACAATGCCATACTCCTCATGTGCCGGGCCCTTCTCGTAAGCAGCTCACCGTCACCCTCACCACCGCACAGCATAGCCACGGAATGGCTTCTCTTCCCACTGTGTATGCCCGTGTCAGAAGCGGAGCCAGGGAGGGTGCCAACATCGGCAGGGCACAGCGGCCTGCGGCGAAGGGTGCGGGTGGCTTTGAGCCCTCCACTGCCTCGTCCACAAGGTAAGTAGGCAAGAACCATGCACACCACTGACGGCTGACGAATGTCTAAGTGTTTTTCTCTATGGCTGTGTGTGCAGCCGGTCAAGTCCTCCGATCGACGAGGACCCTCGTCAGCCGTCTTCGTCGAGTGCCGACAGGGGGCCGTACACTCGATTGACAGCACCACCATCATTCTGACGTCGTATATCACTGTATGTGGCTGCCCTCCTCTTTGCAGTGGTGCTGCTGCGGCCTCTGCTGCTGCGAGCTCTACCTCTGTGCCGTCGACTGCCGGCGAGTGGAAGAACACTGGCAATGATCTCTTTACGGCTGGCAAGTATCTCGACGCCTACCGCTCCTATCTCAGGGTGGCCGACACACACACGACTCTGAAGTCTGAGCCGTCGATGCAGGCGGCTTTCTGCTGTGATGTCTGTGTGGCGTCAGGGTATTCGAGCGGAGCGTGAGACTATCGCTGAGCTGCTCATTCGCCGCTCGCAGTGCCTCATCGCCCTCGAGAGCTACCTCAGTGCCTTCATCGATGTCACCGTCGCCCTGCGCATCCTTCCACCCCCACCGTCCATCGAGGCTGGCAGCAAGAGCGCCACCGTCCAGGAGATCGCCATAAAGCTCTACAAGCCCCTGATTCAGCAGCTCACCGGCGGCCGACGGAGGCGTCGACGTGGTCAAGACGAAGCGGCCGGTGACCAAGGCATCGTGTTGCCGTCGACGGAAGCGATAGCAGCCCTTATGCGGGATGTCATGGTGCGCTGATCTCGACAGATCGGCCGGCCGCGGGCGCTCCACGGGAAGTGACGGATGCACTGACGGAGGGCGAGGTGCTGCAGGACGGCGAGAGATACGCCGAAGCGCACGAGCTCTTCACCGCTGGTCTGGCGGCCGCTGATGTGTCGACCCTCGTGGCACTACTGAGCAACGCATCGGCGTGTCTGCTCAAGCCGGACTTGATCGAGGAGGGCGGGCCGGACGCCGTCGGCTGTGCGGCCGCCGCATTCCATCTGAGCTGCCTGAAGGGGCCCTGCCAACAGCTGAGTGTCATCCAGCAGAAGACGCTCATTCGGCTGGGCCAGGGGCTGCTGGCGGAGAGGCTGTTCGACGCGGCCGATGCCGTCTTCCAGGGACTCACCAAACACGTAAGCAATAAAATGCTCATGACAAGGGAGGAGGGGGAAACCGGTGACATGTGTGTGTGCTTTCATTGTGTCGATCAGGATTTGGACGGTCACTTGGCAGCAGACGTCACCACGCTGCAGCGGCGCATCCACACCCACGCGGCCAATGCCAGCGGTGTGTATGACTGGGCGGCCATTTATCAACAGGCAATGGGCAATGCGCAGAACAAACGGAGCGGCAGATCGACGAAACCGATCGACGTGGCTGAGTACGTCGGGCCAGTCGCCATCAGGCACGCCCCCGACAGCCAGCCGACCCTCATCGCCACAGGGAATGTCCAGCCGGGGCGGCTGCTGATCGTCCAAAAGGCCGTCAGCGTGGAAGATGCCGGTGATCTGGGTGTGGCTGCTGCACGGCTATCGGTGCAGCTGGCCTCCCAGTTGGACGCCTGGCACCCTCGGCTGGTCTCTCAGCTGTGCTGTCTGCCGCCCAGCAGGGAGCAGCCGTCGGCCATAGGGGGTTTGGCCATTGCGGCCCCTCCAGTCCCTGAGACGTGTCTTGGGCTGCCTCCGGTGTTTCCCCTCCTGCCGCGGTTCATCTGGTCCATCACCGGGGAGGAGTTCGGCCCGCCTGTGGCGCAAATCGACTGCGACCCTGACCACCTCCGCCGGCTGCTGGTTTTCAACATCCGCACTCCCGACGATATCACTGAGACTTCCCTCCAGGCGCCAGGTCCCCCGACGCTCCATTCAGGTAATGTAGTGTGAGTGATATGAGATGGATGGATGGATGGATGGCCTTTCATTATGGGTTTTCCCTCGGTCTTCTTCTGCTAAGCAGGGGGCCTGTGGCCGCTGCCAGCGTTGTTGAGCCACGCCAGACTGAGCCGCACCGCCATCTGGTATGCCCAGTGACACGTAGAGATTTTGGAAGCATGCGGGCAAGGCCATTTATCTGATGGACACAGGTACGTTGTGGAGGAGAATCTGCTGGTCGTTGGTGCCATCCGCCCCATCGCGAGCGGCACCGAGGTCACCGTCTCCTACTGGGACGCACGCTTCAGCCCATCCCAAGAGAGGGAGATAGCACGCCACTATCAGCTGCCCGAGCCCCAGTACAGCCCGCATGCCCGCATGCCCGTCGGTCATCGAGCAGGTGCAGCAGCGGCTGAGCTTCAAGGGCTGGCGAGAAGCGAGCGACCTGCGCGAGGTGGACGAGATGCTGCAGAGACTGCGGGATGTCAACATCGACATCCTCCTGATATCGAGGCTGCTGCAGCTGCGAGCATCTAAGCTGTACGCCGCTGGGCGGGAAGACGAGGCCGCCGGTGCCATGCGTGTGGCGGTCGAGCATTCGAGGTCACTACGGTCGTATAACCTGTCCGACCTCCCACTCCTGGGGTGGTCCTTGTGTTTCGCCAGCAGCAATCAAACCCGAAGAGAGATTGTGGATGAGCTCAGGAGGTCGTGTGAGGTGCTGCTGGGCACGCCCGAGGCCGCCGACATCCTCTATGCGGCACCGGTAGTTATATAGCTGTCTCCGCTTTTGTCGATTAGGTGGTGTGCGCGTGTGCTTTTGCTGTATATTTGTCATGGCCGTAATTTTTGTTGTGTACAGCATCGAGCTGGACAGCGTTGTCGTGGAGCTGCTCTTCCTACCTGCTGTGTGTCCGTGGCTCAATGTGATGTGGTGCCTGGGCTGGCTGAGCCGACCAATACGTGTGAGACCATTGTACATTGATTGTACCCTCTTAGCTCTGTCGCCTGTGGAGACCTGCGTTGACGGTGTCTATCAGCCAGTCAATTCAATCACCATCAAGAGAGAAGTCGTTCATTCACCCGGAGAAACCTGTGTGATGAGTCGTCTCACATCCACCGACCCACTCACTCCCTCACTCACAACGATGAATGACATCCATCCATCGCCCTCCTCTCCCTAGCCATATGGAGAGTCACACACACCAATATGGTATACAGAAGCTATAGGGATGGAAAACGAGAGAGAGAGAGGGAGGGTTAGCCACTACACTCATCCACCACAGTCAGCCGACCTCTACCACGCACACACATGTCCATTCGCCTCACCCCCTCACCCCATCACCCCCTCCCAGCACCCTCCCTCTGTTGATGACATCGTCCTCAACGCCGAAGTGCCTCAGCACGGCACGCCAGCGGGGCATCGATATGGGGTAGCGATCAACGAGCGGCTGAGACCGATCGCCAACAGGCCGCTCGGTCGTCAACAGACGGATGTCGCCCACACCTACCTCCACATACGCAGCGACTCTCTCACCAGGCCGGAAGCCGCTCACACTCACACATCGAAAGTAGGTTGGGTTGGCATGATTCAGGTTGCGTCCGTCCCAGCGGTAGTCCACAGCGATGCCCCCATGCTGCTGCTCGCTCATGGCCTCGGTCAGCAGACGGCGGTAGCGGGGGTCATTGTCGATGATGCGTCCAGTCAAGACGTGCCTGCGGCCCACCCCTACCCCATGGCGCCACCACACGAGCACCGTGCGCAGGAGGAACGATGAGAAGGAGGGGTAGAGCAGGTTGTCCCATCGGATGACGGGATCGGTCCGCTGATAGCCGGTAGCATAGTCATTGCCGTGAGGCAGGTCACTCAGCTGCACCACACCGAACGACACATTGCCGATCCGATAGGCACCGTTGCCGGCTTGCTGCAGCGCCAGGCTCTGTCCCTGGGAGGTGAGTATGTGGCCGAATAGGCGGTAAATGGCCATGGCTAAGGGCAGCTGATGGAAGGTCGTCTTGCTGAGGAGGTTGGCCATCAGCCACTGAGCCGGCAGCACCAGCGGCAGTCCACTGGCCGGTGTCAGCCGATAGATGGCGGCGAGGCGGATGAAGACCACACCGACCCGACGCCACTCCTGGCTGCTGCCCTGCTCCAGCACATAGGCCACCCGCAGCACATAGGTCAATGAGAGGGGGGCCGTGCGGTCGATGTCGATGAGGCCGGTGAGTGTGAGGCGGGCGAGGGACGCGTCGATGCGCTCCACCAGCAAACCAGCCGTCACCAGAGCCGACTTCGCCCGGCAAGTGGCTCGCACACAGACGAGCTCATGGACGAGGAGGGAGGGGAGAATGCGCCTGCGCCATACCTCATCGGGCACCGCATCGGACATCTCCACTACCCACTCCAATCAGCACATGGCCACCGCCTGCCACAGAGCACAACGGACAGTGTCGCCGATGGAGAGGGCGACCGCCATGGGAAGGGCGGCTGCTCTGCTCACCTCAAATGATATCAGACGCCCGGCACCAGCAGACAGACAGGCGTCAGAAACGAATGGCCATACAAACACACCGCCCCACCACACACAGCACGTGTGTGTGTCAAAGCATCAAAGAGATTGACACACACCTTATCTGTCTGTCGGTCATCGCATTGCCGTGAGTCACTCCTTGGCCACCCTCTCAGAAGAGAAGCACTCACTCTCTTCCCTGGCTCTCCTGCGACTGAGTGACAGAACCTGACACAATTAAGCACACAAAAACAGCTGGCGTGTAAGTACTGTCCCCTTTGATGCCCTCCGCCCCCTCCCGAAGCACCGTGATTTCGCGAAATGGCGATCGTTTTCTCCTGTCTGAGCTCGCATTCATTGACGACTTTTTGAATTCTTACCACCACCGCCTTTTGAATGAGTTCTTAACGAGTTCGCAACGGTGGATGAATGACACTCAGGTGCGCGGACCGCCGAAAGAGGTGACATTCAGTCAATTCTGTGTCTACAGACATGCACACACACACACACACACACGGGCGCATCACATCAATCAATCAGGCGTCACTGTCGGAAAACAGGCAGTCCCACAAGGCAAGACGCCATCCATCCGATGCATCGCATAGATAGCACCGCCCGCACACCGACCGCCACGCCCACGCCCACTCGCACAGAAAGACACACAGGGCACTCTCTCACCGAACCCGCCCCGGCCACTCTGACACTTGTAAAACGACACACAGCCACACACTCACTGCAATGAACGAACAGCTATGGAAACAAGCCGGGCACACACACACATACACACATACATACACAGATACAGGCGCATACTCCACTTTTGCACGAAAATCAGCTTTGAGCGCATCGCAACGCATCACTCAGTCAGTCAGTCAGTCAGTCAGTCAGTAACCCAGAGAATGCAATGCGTCCATCCATCCATCCATCCATCCACACGCAGTATACACACGCGTGCACTGCACACCATTAATGGTCTTTTTGCTGTCTCGTCTGTGCGGGTGGGTGCTGCGGGTGTCGTGTGGCTCGCTTGTTTGTGTGTGCGGTGGATGGATGGATGGATGGATCGATGGCTGGGGGGTAGGTAGGGTGGAATGAGTGGATGGGGAGAGAGAGGCCTTTTGGTTAGTCGATCGACATGGTCAACTGACTGACTGAGAATATATACAATTAATGCGTCCATCCACCACCCCCACCCCACACGACCCACACCACGAGTGACAGTCAGTGACCGTATGTATCATGTGTGTCAGTGTAGGCCCTGCGTGTGCGTGTGCACTGTGCTGCACTGTGCTGTGTGGGAGAGACAAGACCGTTCACCCGCTCCGCTCCATCCTTGTCGCAATCAATGTAGCCTCCGTGCGTCCGTGACACACACACACACAACTGCACAGGTCTCGGCCGACACACTCTCACAGGTCCATCCTTCACACGCTTACACGCCCCTACAAGCAGCTTAAAGCCTCAAAATTGGCAGTATCTGTGTATGTACATCCACGCGTCTGTCTCTGGAAGCTGCTCATATGTCTTGCCTGCAGGATGGATTGATGCTTTTCGAGCGGGATTTGGTCCTTGCGCGCCTCGGCGAGCGCCAGCTGCTTCATCAGATACTGACACAGAGAAAAAGGCGAGAAATCTGTGCATCATCAGTGAGTGCATCGGTGTGTCTGACTGACCCACCTTGATTTGTATGAGTAGATTCTCCCGCTCCTGTTCACTGACGACCAACTGCTTCTTGAGCGTGCTGATCTCCGTCTGTATGGAACACGACAGCCGTAGGCCGTCAGCATGGCATGCAGGTGGTCCAGCTTCACTCATCATGACATTCATGCCATGCACCTGACTGACTATGGACTTGATCCTATCCTTCTTGTACTGGACAAGCTGAGTCTGCACAAACGCAGCCTGGCATCCACATTCCACACATCGATGTGTGTGTGTGTGTGTGTATGATAGGTACCTTAGCGGCCTTGTTCTCACGCTCCACTGGCTGGATGTACCTGCACACATAATACAAATCGCTTGGGTGAGGCGCCTTAGGTGTGGATTGGATGAGTGACTTGCCGCTCGAATTTCTCCCCGACTTCGACGTATTTCTGTCTGATTTCCAGCCTGTCCTTCTCCGACTGCTCGAGCACGCCCTGCACGTGCCGCAGTCGCTGCTGACACTCACCCAGCTCCCGAGTCTTGTCGCGAATCTGATTAGTGATGAAAAGAGGATGTGTGTCTAATGGATGGCTTGAGGGATACATTTGTGTGCACATACGTTAGTCTGCAGCTCCTGTTCTCGTTGAGCGGATGCGCGCATCTCATCCTGGGTGGCGCCGAGCGCGCCGACCTTCATCTCATACCTGAGGGGCCGAGACAGGACACGCATCACGACCCACGTATTTGCAGGTAGGTCATCCTCATTCACCTTCTCTTGTAGTCTTCACACTCGCTGAGAAGGTTCTCGAGAACCTGACAGGACAGATGCCGTGATTGTTGTGCATGGCCGCGGTGGCGCCTGAGAACCTGAGCAGCGCAGACTTGCTGGCAGTGCAGTGACTGCAACTCAGTCACGAGCTCCTGGAACTGCTCTGCCGGTGAGGCGGGTCGAGCACCGGGACTCACTGTACCACCCTATGGCCGCACACAATGAGGAACAGGTACCACAGTCGCGCGAAGAGGTCTGTGTTCTTCACTTCACTCACGGGTGTTCTGGTGAGTGTGGCTCCTCTGGGGGGGCTTTGTGGGTACTGGTGTGGCTTGGGAATACCCCCAGTGGCGAGCTGCGATCTGAGGTCCTGCAGCGACTCTGAGAAGCTGGACTCCTTCGCCTCAAGAGCACGAACCAACTGATCGGTCATAAAAAGGGCAGCCACCCAGACAGCACAATGTTCAAGTCAGTGTGTGGTTGTTGATACTCCTTGGCTTACGTTGGTGAGATTCGCGGCCTTGGAATTGTAATCATCTGACAGACAGACAGACAGACAGACACACGGACAAAGACAAACGAAGGCTTGTCTGATGAATGATTAATGCTGTGATGCTTTGCTTACCAAGCACGGATTTGAGTTTGTTGAGCTCTACATGCAGCTGCAGGGCCCGCTTACTGGCCTCGGCCCACCCCTGCTCCGCTCGCTTGACGTCGTCGTCCATTTCGCGCTCCTTCGCCTTGAAGACAGCCTTGAGACGCTGCAGCTGCTCGGTGACCTCGTGTGCCTTCCGCTGCGCCTCCACCACCTCGGGACGCTTGCGATCGAGGGCTCGCTCGTGCTCCTCCTTCAGATCAGCGCCTGTACGTACACAAGCATGTGTACAACAGAGATGGATGTTGTGTGGACCGGAGAGGAGTTGGTGTGTCATTCAATCCTGACGCACCGACCTGTTGCAACTCGGTGTTCTTTCGCTTGGCGTTTTCCTCGCCCCGCTTGTGCTCGTTGACTTGCCGCTTCACAGTGGCGAGCTCAGCCTCCTTCTCCTCATACCGCTCTTGCAACCTCTTGTACTCTTCTGTGTCCATCGTGTTGCTCAGCTTCTTCAAATCCTGACACCGACCAACCAAAGGGGACGAAACAAAAACAGCGAACAGACTCGTGTCCCACTCGTCCGCTTGCTGAATGCGTGCGTACCTCGTTGGCGTTTCGCAGCTGCTTCTGCAGCTGCTCCTCCTCCTGACGTGCCTTGTCAATGGACTCCGACAGGAGGAGGAGTCTTCCCATTGACAGTAGTCCGCTGTCCATTGTCGCGAACGCACTCTTCCGTCGCTGCTGCTCGCCGACGCTCATTCTCTGCCGAGAGCTGGTGGTCAGCGACCCTCTGCGGGAAGAAAGGCCCTTCTTTCTGGGCTCCTCCTCCTGACGTGCCTTGTCACTCTCGTCGCTCTCCATTGTCTCCATCTGTCGCTCGTAGCTCTCCGATATCTCGTCGAGGCTTCCCATTGACAGTAGTCCGCTGTCCATTGTCGCGAACGCACTCTTCCGTCGCTGCTGCGAGGACCGACCTGAGGCGTCAAGCCTCTGCCCGGGGCTGCGGTCCATGGCTGATACGACGTCCCCGCAGATGAGCACATGTTGGCGAAACTGCTCATTCTCACTCAGCAGCTGCGCGACGATCTTGGCTGCCGTGACGAGCCCTTCATTGGCAGCACCAGAGGCAGAGGCTGCCGACTCTCGGCGACTTGCGGCTGACTCTCCTTGAGATGACGTGAATGACTGCGAGAGGCCGCCGTGCGAAGCCCCGCTGCCCTGCGGAGACGGCACACTGGTGATAGCCCTGCGCATGGCATCAAGGTCGCTGTGGCCGCTGGAATCCACGAAAGGGAAGGCGCCGCCGTGCTGACTGCTGGAGGACACGACCTCACTCGTCCCTGCCCCGATGTCGCTGCCACTCCTTCCCAGACTCAGTCGAACACCCTTTCGCGGCGAGGGGCTGCCTGCTGTCGAGACGGTGAGGGGCTCTCGTTCAGAGGGGCTGAGGGTCGATGGCCTGCCCTTCAATGCTCGCTCAGGGAGGAGACCCTCGAGAGTGGGGGGCACCACCTTGGGTAAACCGACCGTAACGCGCTTGGGCCGAACCGAGTCAGAAGGAGCAGATCCGCTGCTGCTCCGCTCTGCCAGTCCTGCCAGGCTAAGGATGGGCGCTTGGGCGGTCGCCTCGGGCGGGTGCTCGGGCGACTCGAGGCTCAGCATCTGGTCAGTGCCCATCCCGAGGAGAGCGGGGGATGAAGACGCTCGAAAGAGAGAGCCGGTGCCCCTGCCTCTCCCACGCCCGCGACTGCTGTTGAATTTGTTGTTGGCCGCAGGGGCCGACGCATCGCGCAAACTCATCATGCTGTCTGTTGTGGTGGTTGCAAACTTAGTCCGCTCCCAGTCCTGAAGTCTTGAAGTCGTGAAATGGGGGTCACCCGGGGGGAGAGAGAGGGGTTTGCGACAACTGCTCTGTCACTCGATTGCCGTGGAAGCTACCACGGGAGAAAGAGCGCGGATATAGACTATACTAGTCGAGATTTCGCGAAATGGCGATCGTTTTCTCCTGTCTAAGCTCGCATTCATTGACGACTTTTTGAATTCTTACCACCACCGCCTTTTGAATGAGTTCTCAACGAGTTCGCAACGGTGGATGAATGGCATTCAGGTGCGCGGACCGCCGAAAGAGGTGACATTCAGTCAATTCTGTGTCTACAGACATGCACACACACACACACACGGGCGCATCACATCAATCAATCAGGCGTCACTGTCGGAAAACAGGCAGTCCCACAAGGCAAGACGCCATCCATCCGATGCATCGCATAGATACAGTAGTGGATTGCCGTGTGCGGGACATCGGCGATTTTGAAGGCTTTTGGTCGCTCATCGAAGGTGAGAGGGCAGCGAGAGCGCAATGGACGACTGACAATGCTTCACACAGCTGCTGCTGGTGTGTCTGAGCTGCATCACGCTCGTGCTTTCTGTCTGCAGAGTCACTCATTCACCCCGGCTCACTCCCCGCCTCTCTGCTGTGACAATGTCTGTCTGAGGTAAGCAGAGCATCCCGCCCTCCCATGGATCTCGTCTCACTGACTGATTGCCATTCACTCGTTCGTGTGTCCTTCCTCTTTTGATTCATTCAGATCTCTCACTCACTCACCGATGGCGTCGTCGTCGCATCAGCTGCCCCCCACCACTCCCCCGCCCCCCGCCGCCCCTCCGGCGGTCCCCTCTCTGCCCGACCTTGCCATCACCAGGGCGGCAGACATGGCCATGTCACCCCACCCGACAGACGCGCCACGCTCCGTCAGTGCATCGACAGATTGCCGCAGGCCGAGGCCAGCACCGCCCTCACACTCGTCGAGCAGCGCATAGAGGAGGCCGTCGGTCGTCTGGGGCTCGAGGACGCCCTGGTCTTCGACGTCGGTGGTCTGGAGGACGGCTGGAAGGTGGTGCATCTGCTGGAGGAGGGCAGTGGCGGCGAGTGGCGGGCGATGGGGCGGTTCATTCGGCTGGCCGCCATCTATCGGCTCACTCCCAATGCAACTCTGCCCCTGCGGCTGTCGGCTGATGCGCTGCCCTCCCCAACAGCCTTCCTCCAGCTGCCCTTAGCCATGGCCATCTACCGGCTATTCGGCCACCGCCTCACCCACCAGGGCACCAGTCTGGCGCTGCAGCCAGCTGACAACGATGTCCATCGGATCGGCGATGAGTCGTTCCGTGTGGTGCCGTTGAGTGAGCTGCCGGCCAACCATCCCTATCGCAGCGCCTACAATACGACCGATCCCGCCATCCGATGGGGCAACTGGCTCCTCGCCTCCTTCTCATCGTTCCTGCTGGGCAGGCTCTTCATGCTGTGGTGCCATGAGGCATGGGTCGGCAACAGGAGGGTGCTGCAGGCACACATCGGCAGGAATGACACCCGCTACCGCCGTCTGCTGACCGAGGCCATGAGCGAGCAGCAGCAGGGGGCCATCGCTGTGGACTACCGGAATGACGGCGGCAACCTGAATTATGCCAACCCTTTTCACTTTCGTTATGTGGTCGTGAGCGGCTTCCGGCCCAACGAGGACGTCGCTGCCCTTCTGTCGGTGATAGGCGACATCACTCTGTGGACGACCGAGCGGTCTGCTGGCGATCGGTCTCAGCCGCTGGCCGTCCGCTTCCCCACATCGATGCCCCGCTGGCGTGCCGTGCTGAGCCACTTCGAGCTAGCCGATGGCGTCATCAACAGAGGGACGGTGGTGTGACGGGAGGAGGGGACAGAGATGTGTGTGGTGGAGAGGGCTGACTGTTTGATTGAGTGAAGTGGCTCATCGCGTTGATGAAATGGAATGGACGGGTGGGTGTCATCTCTTCTTTATGGCTGTGTGTGTGTGGCTGCGATGGATGCGGACTCTGTTGCTGCCAGTGAGTGAGGAAATGACCAGACAGACCAAAGCCACTCACTCACGGACGCATTGCATTCAAACTGACAACTGAACCGCCTCGCATTCCTTTATATCGCTCTAAAGGAGTGCACATCACATTGTCTGTCGGCAGAGGTGTGATGTGCTCGCTCTGTGCTGACGCATGACCGCACACACGCAGGCAGTAGGGCACACAATTGACGTCAGTCAGCGTCTGTCTGTGTCCGTCTTTCAAGTCAGCATCGACCATAGGACACCAGCACCAGCACCACTAAGCCACAGGCAGCCCTCACGGCGGGCTGCCAATCTGCCGCATCAGCTCCAGGTACTCCTACACACACACACATCAACACACATACGGCCATTTAGGGGTGTGTGTGTGTGTGGGGACTATGCTCACGTCATCGAATTGCTTCTGGTCGGCCTTTGGCTGAGAGGCAGCCGCGGGGGCCTGCCAACACCCACACACACACACGTGTGTCGCTGCTCGTGTGACATTCATCCACACGCACCCACACCAACGCACCTCCTTCTCCCTCTGCAGCTCGACGACAACCGGTTCGTCCTTCGGCTTCGGCACCGCCCCATGGCCACCAGCAGCGGCGACATGCTGCCGATCCCGCCCAGTGGAGAAGCCCGTGACTTGTGTGAGGGACGACACTTGACGGGCACCCACACCGGCACCACCACCACCACCACCAGCAGCACCGCCCGATGACGGCCGAGACCTATCCATCACACCATTTCCACACACAGCCATGCCGTCAAGAGACACATGTGGCGTTGCGGTGCCTGCCCACCTACCTGAGCTGTGTGGGTCTGAACTTCAATGCGGCCGCAGGGACCTTGCTCGTACTCGACTGTGTCTGGGCCTGCATCTGAGTCCGTGGCACTGGCGCCGCTGATACCGATACAGCTGATGCGGTCAGCACCGGAGGGGCCGCCACGGGGTGGTCTGCATCATCAATCAGTAGAATGAATCACATCTTGTCCGCTCCGCGTGTTCCGGATGGAGGGAGATATGGGTGTCGCTCACCTGCTGGACTCTGCGCAATGGGTATAGCTGATGCTGGTGCTGGTGGTGGCGGTGGCGGTGGCGGTGGGGGCATTGGCATGCGCAGCGCCGCTTGGTGCCCAGAGGGAGAGGGTGGTAGACCACCTGCAATTCAATGCGTTACCAATTGCACATCGATCATGGGATGGCTAGAGAGGAGAGGACACAGACAGACAGAGGGACGTACTTCGTACCTGCCGTCATGTCCCAGGCTGCAGGAGTTGGCAACAGAGGAGCAGTGCCACCCAATGGCACACCCATACCCACACCTGTTGACACATACCCACACAGACACACACACACACATACACACACACAGTACACAGAGAGAACCAAGCGACGCACCCCACGGACCCGTCTGCTGCAACATGGGCAGCATCCACGCCGGAATGGGTGGCGGAGGCGGGGGCAACAAAGGGCCAGAAGCGCCACCGCCAAGAGCTACACCAGCAGCAGCAGCAGGAGGCTGGTGGGTGACCACAGATGGCTGTCGTGGCCGCTCCCCCTCCACATTCGCCTCGTCTGCTTTGGCATCAGTGTCCTCCTCCTGGCCACCACCTGCACACACAGACACGATGAATGGGGCGGCATGGATGGGGCGGCGTATGGTATATGTACCGCACCTTCCGCCTTTCCTTCTCCCGGCTGCTGTAGCTGCACTTTGGTCATCCACGCGGGCTGGGTGAGGGCCCTGCCGGCCCCGATACCCACATCAACACCAACACCAACACCAACACCGACACCCACACCCACCACAGGCACTGCAGCTGCATGCCATTACACGCAATAAGATGGACAAATGGCTTGACAAACGGATGAATGGATGGCTGAGTGTGTGTGCAGACACCTCACCTGTCTCTAGTGGCATTGCACCGGGCAGCGGTGGGGGCTCCTCCTTCGCCGATTCTGTGCAGCGCGCACACAGCCCAGCCCAGCACAGAGGAATGGTGACCTCGCAAAGAAAGGAATGATCCACCCTCCTGCTTGCCTTGATGTGCGCCTTGGTCTGTCTCTTTGATTTTGGCCATCCACGCCGGCTGCGTCAGGGCCTTGCCGCGACCACGGGCTGCGGGGGGGACGGAGGACACTGACACCCACAACCAACACACATGAACCGATTCACGTGTGCGCGCATTTCAGTTTGTGCGGTTGTGCGTGCAGACATACCGATGTTGTCACCAGCAGCTGCAGCTCCAGGAAGAGAAGAGGCCCCCTGACCACACACACACACACACACAAAGAGGTCATGATGACACACAGCATCGGCCCACACGCACCTGCCCGCCTTGCTCCGTGGGCGGCTCTCCCTCTGGCAACGGTGGTGGGCCGGGAGGTAAAGGAGGCGGCTGACATCCATCCATCCATCCATCCATTCATCCATCCGTGTGTGTACTGCTGGGAACCTCCCTCCCTCCCTCTCTGTGAGGCTGACCTGCTCAACCGGCATTGACGAGGCTGGTGGAGGGCCAGGTGGAGGGCCAGGTGGCAATGGCGGAGGAGCTGACTCACACACACACACACACACACACGACACCGATGGTGAATGGATGTGGTGAAGGCCGCCCACCCCAGGCAATCAATGCTCACCAGCAGCAGCGGCTCCCGGGAATGTTTGTTGCTGCATGAAGGGGCTGAAGATGAATGGCGGCATGCCTGGCGGGGGGGGCGGGGGCGGGGGAGGGGGCAGGGGGGGAAGAGGCACCGACGGCGGACTCGCACTCGCAGCTGCTGCGCCCGCCTCCTCTGGGGGGGACTCTGGTGACGTCCACACACACACACACACACACAAGGATGTCTCTGCGTATCGGTGAGTGCGCTTCGTATATATATGTGTGTGTGTGTGTGTGTGTGTGTGGCCGTGTGTGTGTACCTTCCCCGCTCTCTTCGCTGCTCTCCCCTTCCTCTACACCCAACAGTTAATTCAACACACACACAGACAGACAGACAGACAGAGACACACACAGATACTGTGAGCGTGTCTTGTGGGATGTCTCTCTGTCTGTCAGTCAGTGTGCAGTGGTTGGGAGGCCCACCCTGAATGCCCTGCATGTCGATGGTGACCTTGTCCGCCAGCTTGTCCTTGTTGGCCAATATGCTAGACTTGAGCTGCAGTGCACCCACAGGCCCATCCACAACGATAGACATCGATACGGACTTTCTCAGCAGTCGTGTGTTGTGTGTTGTGTGCGTACCTTGTCCCATGTTTTGTTGAGCGACTCGAGCTTCTTCTTGTCCGACGGAGTGATGCGACCAAAGTGCTCTGATGACCCACACACACACACACACACATACACACACACACAGTCACACACACAAATGGGCAATGAATCTGTGCGTTGGCTGCGGTGTGTGCGGTGCAGGAGGACTAACCCTCCTTTTTGAGTCTGTCGATCTGTTCCTTGATGGCGTGTGGGTTCTTCCTGACCAGGGTCGACTCGCGCAGCTTCTGACGCGCCTGCTTGTTCTGATGAATGAATCAGATGACAGACAGACGTGCCCACAACACACTGTGTGGCTGCTGTGGGTGCCGTGACCCCTCTCTCTGCCCCTACCCGCTTCTTCTCCTTCTCGCGCTGCTGCTTCCTGGTGGTGAAAGATGTTATCATAAAGGAGAGAAACACACACACCGACAGACACATGCAGGGAGATGCATCGCATCTTGGTGCGGTCGTTTTGTTGGCTGACCTGTAGGCGTCAGTGGGGTTGACTTCCCGCCCCTTCTTCTGCTTGCCCATCTGACTGACGCACACACCATCACACACGCGCGCAGCCACACAGCTGGAGTGAGTGCATTCATCTGTGCGCCTTTAGCTCTCACCTTTCTCACAGTGACGTCAGCACCTGTCACACATCCTCATGAGCTCGTTGAAATTTCGTTCTTCAGAGAGGTGCGAGCTTTTCGGAGAGTCGCGAGCTGAAGCGCGCAAAGATCCGCTCTGAGAGATCCCTGGCGCTTTCCATCCATCCATTCGTCCTCATCCACCGCCAGGATGCATCCCTTCTCCACCGCCACAGCTGCCACCGCTGTTTTCCTTCTCAGCGCGTTGCCTGCACACGCACAGGTCACAACCGACATGAGCCGCACACACGTGGGAAGATGCGGATGACACAGATGAATGGAGGGGTGTGCGGACGCGTGTGTTGTGTTGGTGCGTTGGTCGGTGCAGGTGACGGACGCGCCAGCAGCTTTTGAGGTGTGTGAGGAGCCGAACATCCTACAGACACTCTGTGACCCCACTGGTCTGTCTGTTAGTCGACGGCACATGCAGAGAGAGAAAAAGATCAGATCAGAGATCTGGGCATTTGTGTCACACCAAATGCATACGTGTGTGTGTCCGCGCCTCTTGTGTGGTGTGTGTGCAGCCACGACGTTCAGCCTGAACAGCACCAACGTCTACTTCCCTCTCATCCCCGGCACCCTCAATGTGCTGGTACGCTGCAACACACACCACACAGACACAGGCGCACCCCCCATGTGTCTGCGCATTGGTGCGTGCAGGCGGGCCCCGAGGGTCCCTTGCCGACGATCAACAACACAGAAGCAGCTGCAGGCGGGGGAGGCCGCATGAGGGTGTTACTGCGGCGGGGGAGCCGGAGGCGGCTGCAGGACGACGATGGCGATGGCCGGGAAGAAATCATCCAGCTCGAGAGGCGGTGCGCGCACAGACGTGTGTGTGTGTGTGTGTGTGTGCCATCTGTCTGTGTGTTGTTCGGTCAGAGTGTTGAACGAGACAGAGGAGGTCATGGGTGTGGAGACCTTCATCATCGAGACCCGAGAATACACCGACGGCACACTCACAGAGCTGAAAAGGTCCACACACCTGCGGCCATGATGGTCACGCCATTTATGGCTGTGTTTCACTGCGTATGTGTGTGTGTGTGTGTGCACAGGGGCTTCTACGTGGAGGCAGCAGACGGCACAGTAGGCACACACACACACACACACACACACACATGCCTGCAGGAAGACACACACAGCTTGTCTGTCTGTCTGTGTGTCGGTGTGTCGCCCGTGGTGCTGCAGGTGTGTTATATGGGTGAGGATGCGACAGAGTACGATGACAGCGGTGCTGTGGTGGTGGAGGACAGCTGGCGGGCGGGGGAGGCCGGCGCCCTCCCGGGCATCGCTATGCCGGCTATGCCACAGGTGGGTGACCAGCTATGCCTCTGTGGTCATCTGACTCCGTCTCTCTCTCTCTCTCTGTGTGTGTCTGTGTGTGTGTGTGTGTGTGCAGAAGGGTGATGTGTTCCTGGAGGAGTTCGTCCCTGGTAAGGCAAGGCCCACCGCAACTGCTCTCCTCTCCACACACACACAGACTAGACACAGGCACAGGCATAGGCACAACATACTCATGTGAGTGAATGTGCCTGGATATGTGTGTGTATGTGCAGGTGAGTCGATGTATACCGGCCGTGTGGCCTTTGTGGAAGTGGAGGCCACCATAGCCGGAGAGACCATCACCAATCAGGCCATCAAGGTAAAGTGCCCTCCCCCTCCCCCACCCCCTCCACATGTCCCCCACCACCCGCACCCTGCAAGAATTCGTGTGTGGGATGTGAAACCATGCCATGCAGATCGTGGAGATGGACGCGTTGGAGGGGTGTGTCGAGGAGGAGCCCAAGTTCTACGCCCCCGAGATCGGCCTCATCATGCAGGACAGGCTGGTACTCCACGACCGGTCTTAATGGAAGGAAGGAGTGAGATGGGATGGGGTGGACCAATTGCACATGAGTGTGGGTGTGGGTGTGGTGTGGGTGGAGTGTTTCGTACCTGCCTGCCAGTATTTGGTGGTGTGTCTTTTTCTATGTGTCCTTCTGCCATGGCAGAAAGTGCTGGCTGTCATTTTGTAGCCATTTTCTTGCGGTGGATGCGATGCGCACCGTCGCCAGAAGATAGAGCAGGATAGAGCAGGGAGATTTGGCAGGCAGGGAATGTGTTGAACTTTATTATTTGTCTCGCGGAAGGGAAGAAGAGTATTTTTGTTTGTTTGCCTGCCTGCCTGCCTGCCTGTTGGGCAGACAGATGCGATGCGATGCGGTGCATACGGAGCGTTTTGCACAGTGGATGTGATGAATGGGCACTTAGCCATCAGAGGGCCTCCTTGGCGTGTCTTTGTGTCTGTTGCGGTGGAGGTGGAGGCAGAGGCACATGGAGAGGGAGAGGGACAGGCAAGCCACCACACAGGTGTACTGTATCCCATCCAGCCATCCCACCAACCAAATCAATCGCATCCCATCGCACCTTCATTCCGTCTTCTGCTGGCAGGTCTTTTCTATTGTAACGAGCTATGAGTGTCTCAGAATAAGCAACACACAACACATGGTGCCTTCTTGTTGCTGTGATCGCACCCTGTCTGCTGGCCACCATTCAGACGACTCAGGCCACTCGGCCACATGTTGCGGCGCGGCAGCAACGTGTAGCTTGGTGGCCTGGTGGTGGGGGCCTGAATGGTGGACAGCGGGCGGAGCGGACACACGCTGAATGATTGAAATGAGTCGGGTGTGGGTGTGAGCGTTGGCCTCGAGGGATGGAGGGATGGATGGATTGCTTGGTGATGGTGATTTGACTGCTTGTGATTGGTGCTGGTCTTTTCTAGTAGAGCTGCCTGAGTTCCTGTCTGCCTGCCTGCCTGATTGATTGATTGGTGAGCGAATGAGGATGTCTGGATTTGGCAAGAATGACTGGGGGGGCGATCGGTCGATGACGACAGAGAGAGTGACAGAGATTGAGGTGTGGACGTTTCATCTCCTCCTCTGTTGCTCCGGATGTGGTCATGGTCAATTGCAGCCCCCGTGTGACCGTCCCATGAGACGAGCAGCCAACAGAGAAGGGTTAGCAGCAACACCGGACATTGAGAGCAAAAAGTGCCTTCCTTGATCAGTCAGTCTGGATCAACACGCATGACGAGTCAATTGTCCGTCCGCCCGTCCCGACGAGTAGACAACTAAATGGACGCCACAGCAGAAGAAGGCCCCCCCCCCCCCCCCCC